CAGCTCCCAGAGGAGTTCTGTAGCATTTCCAAGAGTGAATACCTAGATGATACATGAACTAATGAAGTGATGAATGAGACCATCTTCTCCATAACAACTATGGTTTTCTGACTCACGGGGACAGTGAACTATCAGTCTCTCAGGAGTCCCACAGTGCCAAAGTGATTCAGTTTATCAGAAAATCCATCCCCAGCTTTGGTTCTTCCAAGCTGTCAGAATTCTGCTGTTCTAAATAATTTATGTCTATTCTCAGTAAATGTAAACTATGCCTTCTAGCTTTGCTTTATGACAGTTTCATGCAATCTGCACAGGAAATCTAAATTTCTACCCAGTGGTCACTCCTTCCCAACTACTGTGAGATGCAATAGATCACAACTCACAGTGATCCTTCCAAATGTGAAGAAAAACCACTTTTAAATATTATGCTTCTTAGAAGCTCTATATCCAGTGCTGGCCAGAGACAAAGTATGCAGTTGTTGCACTGATCCACAAGCGTGGATGCTTGCATACACAGGAAGTATCAAGACCTGAAGGGCAAACACAATGACCTGATTCTTTATTGGCAACATATGTAGCAATTAAAACTACTTAATGTGGTTGTGATGAAGACTGAAGATAGAGATGAGAACAAACTCCTATGTCATAGCAGACAGACTGGAAAATACCCCAGGTCTAAGACTGATACTCAATGAGTATGGAGAGAAGAAACAGATGCAAGGCAATCCAGTACTTTTCTACTTCATAAATAATGGAAATATTGAATGCATGCAAGTATTAGAGAGAGACAATAAAGTTCATCGGGACTCATGGGTTCAATGAATGAGGCAGGGTACTAGCCCTTTCTTTGAACCCCAGATGGCTCTGACACTCAGTGTTTAGGAAGTTATTCAGTCTCTTTCAGAATTTGTTTCTTCACTTAACATACGAAGGTAATACTGCCAACATAGAACACTATGTTACTTTCATCACCATGAAAAGTATCTGAGGAAGTCAACTTAAAAGCAGAAAGAGGTATTTTAATCACAGTTTTGGAGGTGTCATCCATGGTGACTTGATTCCATTATTAGGGGCATGTGTTGAGACCGAATAGCATGAAAAGAAGCCTGTAGTGAAGCAAAAGTTGATCATCTTATGGTTGCTAGGAAACTGGGAGACAGCATAACAAGAGCATGCCAAAACAAGATCTGACCCAAGACACTCAAGCCCCAACTAACCTACTCCCTCCAACAGTCATTCTAGTTTTCATCACCTCCCAATAATACAATGAAGGTATAAATCCATCAATACATCCATCCACTGATGGGATTCTATCCTTATGATACAGTCGCTCTTGAAAGTTGATCAGTTGTCAACCAAGCCTTCAGTTTTTAAGCCTTTGAGGATATATCATATCCAAACCAGAGCAATCATTGTTGTAAAGATTGAATGAAATGATATATGTATGTAAAGTGGCCGCTTCCTAACAGGTATCTACAGCACTTTGTCAATAGCTGTAACAACATCTTAGGTCTACACACACCTCATGTAACAGAGGAATCATAGAAATAAGCAAACCATGGTACAATCTCACTTATATGTAGAATGTAAGAGTTGATCTTAGAGGGTGGTGATGTTAGCTTGGCTGGTAAAATGAGTTCCAAGCCCAGAATGCATGAAAAAAATAAACAAACAAAAACAGGCATGGTGGCATACACTTGTAATCTCAGCACTGGGAGTGGAAATAAGTAGGATCCCTGGGGCTCACCAGGAAGCCAGCATCACCTATTTAACTAGTCCCAATCTAGTGAGAGACAATGTCTTGGAAATAAGGTATATGACTCATAAAGAATGACACCCAAGGTTGACCTCTGGCTTCTAAATGTATGTACATTCATGCACACACACATGCACCTGCACACACACACACACACACACACACACACACACACACACACACTGATCCTATAGAAGTTGAACTAAGAATGGTAGTTAACAGAGCTTGGTAAGTACAAGAGGAAAGTGTAATGGCAAAGCTTAACTAAGAGTACTAAGTTATAGTGAGATAGGAAAATGAGTGCCCATCATTCATGCACAACAAGACCATGATATTGTAGAAAGCTAAAAGAAAGAATTTGAGGACTGAAGAGATTGCTTAGCAGGTAGGGGAACTTGTAGCCAAGCTCAGTAACCTGATTTTAATCCACAGAACCACGTGGGAAGGAGAAAATTGGCTAGCGTGGTTGTCTTCTGATCACCACAAAGTGCACTGCAGCGCACAACCATCACCACTACACACACACACATTAAATAAATATTTAAAATAATTGTGAATGTTTGCATCATAAAGAATGCTAGATATCTGAGAAGATAAATACATTTACCCTGATTTGAACATTCCACAAGATATTGCTGAGTAGCCCATATATAGTTTCATATATCACTTAAATATAAAAAAGCAAACAAAATAAAATGAATAAGTTGGGTAAAGACACATGTTAATTGCATCATCAGAATGAGGCCCTCCATGCTGTTCCACATCATCCTATTTTGCCTGAGTTCTTTCATAAAGTAGAGGGTCAAAGCCTGGGCAATAAAGCAATACTTAATTAACCACCCAGTGCATGAATAAGCTCAGATATCTTGTGACGTCACCAATGTCCCAGATGTACTTTGACATTTCTCAAAGTATTTAGCCGTGGGGAAATAATCAGACACAAAGTAACACATAGGTCCGGTACACAGGATTCAAAGACATGTTCCCTGTCCCCATGGTCCCACTGTCTAAGGAAGGACCTTCACATGTGATTTAGACTCAAGACAGATCATCATTCAGGCTATGACATTCACTGCAGTAAGGTCCCAACCACACACCATGGGTAAATGTAATTATACTTTTACTTTAAGACTTCACAATTGCTTCTCCCACTCGATCTGGTATAGAAGGTCTCGGATTCTGTGTTAATTTGTGCAACACACTCCTAACACAGACTTAGTAGTTTTTGGATTTTTGTTTTGTTTTTTCACAAAGGCAGAGAAAGAAGGCAAAGATATCCAAATAATTAAATTATTATAAAAGAGTTCCATGCTACGCCTGTAATCACATTAAGGACTACCATCATTGTCAAACCTTCATTCAGTAACTGATGGAATCAGATGCAGTGATACACAACTAACCACTAGGCCAATTTCCCAGAGTCCACTTGAAGAGGGGGAGAAGTGATAATATGAGCAAATGGGTCAATACCAGGATTGAGAAGCCCACAGAAACAGCTGACCTGAGCTAGTGAGAGCTCATCAACTCCAGACTGACAGTGGCAGAACCCGCATAGGATTGAACTAGACCCCTGAATGCAGATGACAGAGAGTAGAGTGGGTAGTATATGAGGCCACTGGCAGTGGGTCCAGGATCTAGCCCTAGTACATGAACTGGCTTTTTGGAGTCCATTCCCTATGGAAGGACACCTTGCTCAACTTAGACATGTGGTGGGGTACCGGCCTTGGTCAGACCTCGGCCAGGTGATGGGACAGACTTATTTGACTCCCCATGGGAGGCCATACCCACTCTGAGGAGAGGATGCGGGTGGGATGAGGGGAGCGGAGGGGGAGAGGGATGAAAGGAGGGAAGGAGAACTGGGATTGATTTTAAAATTACACACACACACACACACACACACACACATATATATATATATATATGTATGAAACACTGCCCTTGGACTTTAAAGTTTTATTTTTTAATAAAAACTGAAGAGAACCATTACGAGATCATATTTATTCAGAGAGAAAGAAGGTTGTTTTCCAACTTATTTAAGAAGGAAGTCATACTGTCAAGACAAATTCAAAAGACGGGACACTCTGAGGGTGCCAAGTCATGTACAGAATCTGAAGTCCCCTGCCCTATCCATGATATTTGAAATAAATGAATAGGCCAATCCAGATTTCTGAATGTCATACAGTTCTGAAATTCTGTATTCACCAGAATTCTAAGCCCAGCACCCCAGAGCCAAAGGGAATCGTACAACCCATCTTTTCCATCCCTCCCCTCCCAAACTTTAGAAACCCAGAAAACACGGGTGGCGGGGGCTTTCCCCCTCCATGAGAGTCACCACCTTTCCCTTATTCTTTCTAGCTCAAGAGGCTTCATGAAAAGGAGCCCTAACTTCAACTTCTGAGGCATCTCACCTCCTTCATCTCCAAGGCAGAGCTCTCAACCATTTTTTCCCCTCTCCTCTTCAAGCTCCCAGACTTTTCAAGCCTATTCCTTCTGCTCACACCACCTCAGACGACTCTTTGCCTGTCACTATCCCATCCACCACCACCACCACCACCACCCCCCCCCCCCCCACCACCCCACCCCCCCCCACCGCCGGCAACCTCACCCTACCTCTGTTGATGCTAGCTGGCTTCCAGGTTCTCTACCTCTGTGTTCTAGTGGATCTGTCTTCCACTAATATTCAGAGAATATAAAGGGCCTAGCACAGTATCTGGCGTGTGGTGTTTTCAAACAACCAGACTGGTGACTAGTGTTACTCTAATCTTCATTATTTCTCCCCCATAAGCCCACTCTATAACTCTCTCAATGACCCACAAATACCTTCTTCATCCCTACATCTGCAGGCTCTTTCTCTCTTTCACTAATTCCTTAACCCGGAATTGGTTAATACATCCATGCTTATTTACACTTCTTCCCATCTTTGTCTTACAGGGCACCCTGTTGTCCCTGCTCTTTCCCAGAAAAAGAGTTCATCAGCATGCATTAGGGGACTTGAATTTGAAAACTCTAAAATCCTTTTGCCCGCTGCCACCTCTGGCCACCAGATCTGAAAATGTATTATACAAAACACAGCCTGTTCCCATTTCATGGCCCCTCATCTCCGACATTGGCACACCCCTCACTTGCTGGCTCCCTAGAGAAGATTTCCTTGACCACCAAAGACAAAACTTGGTGACCCATAAAGGCAACACCTACCCCATCATCGTTTGCCAAAGGCTGCTGTATGGTAGACACACTCCCAGCTCACCTGAATCAGTGTCTCCAGCTCCTGGGGGCTCACACAGATATGATCTCTCAAGAATTCTGCCTTCTCCAAGGTGATGGTGTTCTTCTGACTGCTCTCAAAGGGCTGCTCCAACGCCCGGAAGACAAGGCCACCTGTGACGAGGTAGACCACCACAACCACAAAGATGGCAACCACTGTTTTCCACTTCATGACTGTTTGCAGGCCTCCCTGGGAGGCGCCTTCCATCCTGGCTACCACCGTGGCTCGGGAGGAAATGGAGAGGCGGGGAACCGGATGGGGCCCGTTAGTGGCACTCTTGGGCTGGCACACGGGTGGAGTTGCTGCAGGCACGGCCACTGAGGAAGCAGGTAGAGAAGAGGAGAGAATTTGTTTATAAAAGCAAAACACTGAAGTCATCAGAAACAAAGAACAGATGCCTTCCTTCAGTCACCTTTCCAAATGTAAGGATGAAAGAATCGTTCACCGAGCCTGCAGTTGGGGAATTTGATCAGTTGTTAAGTACCTGGTTTCTGTTGTTCTTTTTTTTTTTTTAATGATTTCCTAAAAGTGAGCATCAGGAGCTCTAATTCTAAAGGGAAGGCTATCAATGAGTTAGAAGCACTTATATTTTCCTACAAAGATCCAAACTGGAAAGTTATATTTATTGATACCTCAACTCCTCCCTCGGCTCCCATGTTCAAATGTGTACAAATCATCATATTTGAAAAACAAACCTATTATTCAGATTGAAGAAAAGCAAACAGAAGAAGGGCACACAGCTACTCTAAGTACAGAAGCAGAGAAGAGACGGACATCCAGTGACTTTAAAAGCCCATCTCAGAGACCAGGGAGATGGTGCAGGCAAGCATGACGGCCTGAGTTTGGATCCCCAACACCCACATAAAAAGCCAAGTGGGTGCAGCAGCCCACACCTGTGACCCTAGCACTGGTGGGCGTGGAGACAAGCAGATGCCTGGTTTGCTGGTCAACCAGTCTATCCAATTGTGGAGTTTCTGATTCAATGAGAGATTCTCTGTCTCAAGAAAAAATAAGGTAAAGAACAGTAGGACACACCTAACACTGACCTCTGACCTCCACATTCACACACAGGCACGCATACTCACATGCAAAGAAATCCACATACAAAAACATTCCCATACATACAATCCACCCCCCAAAACACACACACACACACACACACACACACACACACACACACACACACAGAGATGAGAGAGCGAATAATTAAAAGCCTGTCTTTTCACAAAATGAAGCAAAGAAGCTGATTCCCAGCTAAGGAAGAAGGGTCAAAGGTCAGGCACAGTAGAAAGGTTTGGGACTTGCCTAGCTAGGCTATAATTGGGGAAGGAAGCAAGAGTGATGGCTTATGTCAATTAGCCCTCTTGCCTGAAAAAATAATAAGAATAAAATAGATCCCAAGTGCATTGCCTAATAGAAAATGCAATGACTTTGGTGTAACCACTGCTGAGCTATTAGCAACGGAATTTTTTTCCTCCGGTTGTCATCCAATAAGAAGCCACTGGAAATGAAATTTCCCCTGGTGCTCAGAACACAGCATTTGTTAAGGTCCCCAGTTCTCTATAAAGGCAATTTCATTACCTTAGGAATAAATACATTAAGCTGGCAGTTTTTCTGCCAGAACAGGGGGTTGGAGATAGTGCCACGCACGACAGAGCTCTGTCTTGTGCAGCAATGAGCAGTCACGGCACTGAGACGTGTTCTTGCTTTTATTATCCTGATTCTCATTATGGCCTCTGCTTGTGCAGCACCCCCAGGTGTTGTGTAAATAAGGTATTAGCATAACATGTGCAAATAAATACTGGCCCAGTGGGGCTACACTGCTCCATCTCTATACTGGGAGTGTCAAGGTGATTCTGTCATGCCACTCTTCCTGGAAAGTAGGTCTGAACCTGACCCACCTGGATACAGGGGTGGCTTCTTAGAAAAATCTATGTCTATAAACATCTGCTCTCCTAGGCAGACCCTAGAAATCCATTTTTCTCTTTGAAACCAGGCTGACTACCCACCTTTCACTGATGTTACTCTGTTCAACAGTTATTCAAAATTAAGTTATTCTTGGGCTTAACGTGAATACAAAATTCTTCATAGTCTCCAAACTATCTATATAATTTAGAATCATCCAGTTGGGCATCATGTTCTTTGACCCTCCTCTAAAGACACTGAACTCAGGGTCCCACTTGGCCTTGTAGACACCAAGAACCCTCCTTTGTGTCCAGGACAGTTTCCTTCAGCACAGCCTGAACTTCTCATCCATTCTCCCTCTCCATCCATGGCTACAGCCTCACGCAGGCCATTGGCATGTCTTGTCCCTATCAAACTAGTAGTCTCCTAAATTACTTCCCCATTTCTGCTTCTACCCAAGCCTGGCCAGTTAATCTCAAGTTAAACCTTACTTCTTGAAGTACTTCTTTTCATCCACCTCAAGGTGAGCAGAAAAAAAAAATAGTCAGCTGTAAAAACAGTACCTTACATAGCCAAACATTGAAGATCCTGAAGTGCGGAGTTTATCCTAGACTGTGGGTGTCATCACAAGGCCACATGGCAGTAATACACGTGGAGAATAAAGGCGAAAGCAGAGACTGGAGTCACACAGCTGTGAGGCAACTAACATGGCACACTCACCTCCCAGATCCCTCGTTAGACTAAAAGATCTACAGAATCAGGCATCATATCGGCTGCTTCACTTCTCTGTACCCAGGGACCAGTATGGTGACTGGCACACAGTAGGCAGCCAATGATGACTGGATAAGGTGACAAATAAGGAATGAAGAGTTGGCCCAGTGCAATCACACATACAATTCGAACAAGCACTATCAGACTAAAAATAATGATGGTTTACTAGTATGGAAAAGCAGGTTGGACACAGCAGCACCCTGTTCTAATCACCACACAGCAGCCCAGAACCTGCAAACTCATATCCACATGGTTCTCAGCCCAAAGCCACCTCATCTGTGAAATCTTTCTGGACTCTTCCATGCAGACGCCTCAGCCTGTCTCCACAGCCTATCTCTCCATGAGCCTGTATGCTTTTGGGGCAGAGCCTCACTCTTCTTTCTTCTTTAGACAACTGTGTTCTCTATATGTAGCCCAGGCTAGGCTTAATCTGAACTCCTCCCATCTCTGCCTCCCAAATGCTAGATGAAAGGTATGCACCATGGCTCAGTGGAAAGTCCATCTTCAGTTCTTGCTACAGCACCAAAGAAAGGGTGCTTATTCCCTATTGTTGCTGTCAGTCATTGTTGGTAATGATTATTTTAAACTACCACAATCACAACCTCAGAATTGCCTCCACAATAAGCATTGACATTAATTACCTCAACAATAAGTATTTGTTTAACACTGAATGGACCTAAGAGACTAGGCAAGGTTCCCCATGCCTCCTTAGACAGCTGATCTGGTTCTCCACTTCCAGAGCTCAACAAATTGCTATGCAACAATATATGGTCCTTTCTCTCCCAGGCTGAATCCTGAGGCATCAGGCCATACTGTGGATATTTTAATTTGCTTTGTGTCCTTGGCTTCTGCTCGTTTGTGATAGATATTATCCAGATTCTTTTTTTTTGTTTTGTTTTGTTTTTTTTTTGTTTTTCGAGACAGGGTTTCTCTGTGGCTTTGGAGGCTGTCCTGGAACTAGCTCTTGTAGACCAGGCTGACCTCGAACTCACAGACATCCGCCTGCCTCTGCCTCCCAAGTGCTGGGATTAAAGGTGTGCGCCACCAATGCCCGGCCGATATTATCCAGATTCTAAGTCCTAAAATTTCATTTAGCAAGGCTGACTAAGGGTGGCCAAGAATGCTTCCCACCAAGGGTAACTGGATCATCTAATGTGCCCAATACCAAACACCACACATTCTACCTCTTCTTACTGCCCGCCCCCCCCCCCCCAGATGTCCCTATAAAGCTCTGAAGCAGCCAAAAGTAGTCATTGTACCATACTCCAAAGAACTGGGTCCCAACGTCTTAAGGAGGGAGCTGTGATATGATTACAACAAATGTATAAATTAAATATTGAAACGTCAAACTTAAGGGCAAATAAATAGTCTTGCAGCAGGACATGAGATAGACAAGTTAACCAGACAAGAAAAGAAACAGGACTATGACAAAAATAAAAGCTAAAAGTTAACAAGTCTTTGTTTGCATTCGGCTTTAAATGCATTAAATCTATCTACTTTATATATTACAAAATAATTTGGCCTTTAAACTGTTTATGTGATGTTACATAACATACAGTATAAAGGTAAATTGTCATGTGTTGTCTAAAGCCTGTTGAAAACATCAAGAACCTGTGGTTACACGGGTCACAGACCCTAAGGGAGAACCTCCCCTATTATTCTACTAAATAGACGTTGTATTACACTGACTCTTAAAGGCCAATTGGTATAGAGCAGTGCATCTCTCAACCCTATCAGAGACGCTTCCTTTTTGTAGTAGATGCCATTGACATAGGGACCCACAGCTTATCGAGGTGAGAGAATGGAAGAGTACAGAATGCTCAGCCCTAAATGGGGTGGCTTTACCACCTTCCTCAAGGCTCAGGAATCATTGTGGATGAAGAGGCACACACACAAGAGTGCATAGGCAGCACAGACGGAGCTTGACAGACTTTTTAAAAAAGACATAAGAGTTGTGTGTGCAGGGAAGAGGTGTGGATCTTGGAGGAACTGGGGGTGAATATGATCAGAATTCATTATATATGAAATTCTCATGAAACTAATAAAAAGAAGAAGGGAACAACTCTGGGAGCAAGGAGGCTCCAAAAAGCTCCCTGTCCCAGGGATGACTGCTGTCTTAACTCTATAAAAGAGGAAGGAAAACAGCAAGCCTCTAAGGGCATTATCAATACTCTGTCGGTGAGGTCAGCAGGAAGGGGAACTATGCAGTTGCTATTGCCCATCCTATAGGATAAACATGCCAGCAGGGGAAACAGGAAGCCAGAAACTCATTCATGGAGAGAATGCAGAGGAAGTTCTATCCAAAGCTCTGTCCTTCAGCACTCTAGCGGCCTGCCTCAGCTTCTCCAGTTGGCTCCTAGTCTTTACCGATTTCAGGTGCCTCGGTGACGTCTATCTGCTACTATTCGTTCCTTTAACTCAGAAGCCTCACAGGGTGCATACTTTCTACACGGGACTCTCGCTGGGAAACCCCAGCTGGTTGCCTCACAGGGGCTTCCCCTGTCAATTTCTACTGAATGTTTGTAGCCCCGCCCCAATTTTGTTTGCTTTTTGAATCAGGCTATCCCAGTCATCCGCCTTACTCGAGGTGTGAGCACCTTATTTAAAGGTCTTTTCCCATCTGATTGCTGTTTTTCTTTAT